AGCACCTTTTAACCTGCATGATGTCAGGTAGGCACATGTATATATTGGCTAAGACGTTTGGATGGCCTTGACGGCGCTTTTTAGAACCTTACATTGCCGATGGGGTGTCGGGATTGGATTGATGGGAGTGATGCTGCATCTGACTTTTACCTTGTTGCTACAGTGAACATTGAGAATCTGAGAAAATACAGCAAGTGCCGAGGAATACAATACCATCGCAGCGCAAAATGTCGACTTCATCATCCATCGATGCCCTGCGGAGGCTCGCAAACCGCAGCAACAGCAATAACAATAACGCTTCATCCAGTAGCAGCAACGCCAACGCCAACAAAAAGAGCATCAACAGCGTGCCACCCGCAGTCGCCTCCTCTTCCTCATCCTCCGCCCAGCCTCGCTGGTTCGCCCAGTCAGCCTCGTCGCCCTCCATCTCCTCCACCACCGCCCCCGTCGCAGCCTCGCCCGCCCTCCAGCCCACGCTGCCATCCGCCGAGACGCAGCGCCACGTCGCCGAGGCCCGCGCCGCCGTCGTCGCGTCAATGGGCAACATGCTCGACTCGGAGCTGCAGTCGCGCGCGGGCATCCTGCACCAGAACGCGGCGGCGCTGGAGAAGCAGGAGCGCGACGTGCTGCGCGCAACGGAGGGGCTGCGGCGGGAGACGGTGAAGCTCAAGGCCGAGGCGGACAAGGCGGCGCGCAAGGTCAAGGAGCTGGGCAATGTGCAGAACTGGGCGGAGGTGCTGGAGAGGGGGTTTCTGGTGCTGGAGGAGACGGTGCGGCTGGCGAATGAGGGGGATGATGAGGACGGGAGTGAGGGGAGCTGTAGCTGTAGCGAGTGCGGGAGGGGAGACTCTGGTGAGGGCAGTGATGGAGAGGGTGACGAAGGCGATGGTCGTGATCGTGGTGATGGTGTTGATGATATTGGGGCCAGGATGGACGTGGACACCATGTCGGATGCCAGTCGAAGCCTGATGGAGCTGGCCTCGAGCACCGGCACGGGCCGGGCAAAGGGATCAGAAACGGCTTCGATATCGACTGGATGACTTGATATTACGTATAACGAGTTGTTTAATGAGCAAGGATTCATTTATTTCGTGTCGTACGAGTAGCTATTCCGAAATGTCTGGATTTGGAAATTGCCGGGTATCAAGGCCGCTGTCATTGAAGAACAAAGCCTTCTGCCAAGCCCTATATAAGCACTTATTTTATAGGATTTTGAAGCGTAAGACTTATGCTTAAACAAACGCATGTAGAAGGTGGATTTTTTTTCAAAAGAGGTATTATAAGCTTAATTATATAGCATGTATTTGTCAAACAAGGAGATAACCTTGTAACTTCCTGGCTGGTCTGGAGTCTGAATGTTATATAAAGGGTGTCTTGAGGACGACTATTTTGAACTGTAAATCATTACTTCCATAATCTGTCATTGCACTGAATCGCTCTTCTCGAGATTTACACCTACCAAAATCATGAAATCATCATCCTTTCTGCTCAACATCGCTGCCCTCTGCGGCGCGGCCAACGCCTTTTGGGGCCAAATGGCAGCCGAACCCAAACACGAAGACGAAGGCGGTGTTTATCAATGGGTGCACCTAACCGATTACAACACCGGTTCCAAGTATTCAACTCAGTTGCCTGGTGGTTTTGATGGATGCGCCGCACCATTCGCATGCTATCCTGTGTAAGTTTTGGTCTGCGAATCAATACCTAGGTACATGTTTTGGGGTAATTGACTGGTAAATAGGTTCAGAGAAGACTCTGGTGGAAGCTACAATTTCCACTCCAAGGTTTGGAGGTCTACTGATGGCTGCCATCATATTGATTTCCAAGGAGGTCTTGATGCACATGAAGGATGGTGTTGTGGATCACTCCCCTGTGACTTTTCGGCTTAGAAAGAGCTGGAACTTCTCTCCTCTCAACATTTTTTCTTTTCTGTTGAGAGACGGGAACCAGAATCGAGAAACGGGAAACACACAAGCAAGAGTCTTGTTTGGGAGAGATACGCGATAGTATAGGGGAGTGTACGATATATAGCAAACAACTCTGTTTCTCTATTTTAGCTTTCTAATCTAGTCTCCCCTTTTGCTCGATTTATCATATATGATGGAGATTAATATGACATTGCTCTTTTATACGCCATTCCTCTCCTCTCCATCTGCTAAGCTATAAGAGTCGACACAATGTAGTCTTGCTTACAACAGTCCGGGAAGGATAACAAAGCGCTTCTTCTTGTACTTGTCGCCAAACTCTTTGCGGTATGCCCTTTCCTTGCCCTTGGCCCAGACAAACATTTGCCCCGCACCCATGGCGATAAACAGCGCCACCGACCAGTCGCGGCTCGCAATGATGATGCCAGCCCACGCCAGAATCTCGTACATGTAGTTGGGGCAAGTAACAAGCGAGAAGCCGTAGCCATAGGGGATCTTGCGTTCAGTGCCGCCGGATGACCGCAGGCTGGAGAGGTACAGGTGCACCAGCGCGTTGCTAATCTCGCCAAACAGGTAGAGCACGGTGCCGGCGGCGTCAACAAGAGGCTGGTCTGCGGTGGCAGCCAGCGACCAGGGGCTGTAATAGATGGACCAGGCGCACAGAGCGCCGGAGAAGGCCCAGTAGAAGAAGCTGTTCTTGAAGATGTTGCGCGCGGGCATGGTGTTTGCGGAGAACTTGTGGACGAAGAGCGTCTCAATCTCACGCTTGACAAAGTGCGCCATGATCATACCGAAGCTGAGCCATTGCGAGGGGGACATGGACGGGTCCTTGAGGAGGTACGGCCGGGCGGCGACAGCGAGGCCGTGGATGAGGATGGGGCCGATGTATTCGATGACGAAGACGGTTCTCCAGGCGATTTGGAGGCCTATGGGCGATGTTAGTTAACGGTCAACTCAACAATTGGGTCAAAAACAGAGATGAAGGCTTCATACCGAGATTCTTGACGAGCACTTCGCCCGCATCAGCGACATCCTTATCCTCGGCAATCACCGCCTTGCGGTCCTTGAGCGTCTTCCTCGTCGACGTGTAAAACAGCCCGACGCGGTTGTGGTCGTTGATGCCAGCTTGTTTGGCAATCAGCTTCTTGACATCTTCGACCGTGGCGCCGGCGGGGAGGTCGATTGACGGCGGCAGCTTCTTGATGCCCTGCTTGGGAGCTGTTTTGGGGGGTAGCCAGAAATTAGCCCAACGCTCGCAAACAGCATGTGAATTGCGAATTGCCAATCGAATCAATTCAATGGCAATAGTGAGTACTTACAGCGATTTGTCAGCTTGAGGGTTGTCAGAGAAGCCATCTTGAGGGTCAAGCTGTGGTGTTTACAGAGCTTGACAGGAGAGAGTTGTAGGATTCGTGTTGGGGAAAAAAAGACACCACAACCAAGTATTCCTCGGGATGAGCTACGGCGAGTGGGGTGTTGAGGATGCGGTACGGAAGGGTCAGTAGCGGGGTACGCCGCTGAACACAGATTACGTAGTGAGAGGGAAGTAGCGTTAACTGCCGACCAGGTATCGTGCTGTCGAGTGCAGGGGCAGATCGACAAGGCATTTTAGTACATTTCACATGTCCATACAATATTACTAAAGATATACTCACGATTTACTTTGGGCAATATGATATATAGCAATTTATCTGTAGTGGTACTCGGTTGGATACATATTGCCGAGCCGCTTCCAATGCCGGTAACCGTCAAAGGCTGTCTTTGTCTGCCATAATCGAAGCTATTGTAAGCATTACCAGTGTAGCTTGGGAATGCAGACTACCGGAGCCGAACAATAGAGAACATAAATCATCATAGTTTTGATTAGACACTGCCTTCATAGTCTTGATCTACATTTGTTTGTTTTCGTCCCAGTCTCATAAAGTCATTGTTATAGCTCAGTTTCTTCCCAAATGGCTTAATCAAGTACATATGTGAAACTCTGCACCTTTTATATGACAATGGGCGGGAAGGGAGGGAGAGAAAGAAAAGCTACAGAGTTACAGTTATGGCTGAAGTTGCGCGCTCATCCATTATTGGCTTACACAACCACGTATTTCGTGATACTGGGTGAAAATAACACCTGGCATCTGTAACAGAATAAACGTCAATAATCTGAGTGTAATCAACAACTCAAAGAGTCTTAGGATAAGCGGCCATCACCCTTCAACGGGCAGAATCTAACATGATACCTTGTCTGCAAAAGCATTGATCAGATGGCGACTAAGTGAATTCAACTCCTCTTGCCCGCTCAAGATTCCGTTATTCATCTTTCTAACCGCACCTTGATAGCTACCAGCCCTCATCTAGAGATACCTTCATACCCCACCTAGAGCTTCTTATAAGATTTAACATGCCAGCAAGACAGCACATGCTCATAGAGCTACTTCACGAGCGTATTCCCTACTATTATCCATTTTTACAGTGGAGATACAGTTGCTCTCTCTGCACTGTCAAGCCAGCTGCCAGCTGCCATGCTCTGATACCTCGTAGTTTATGGCTTACGTGTCCAACCAAGAGGAGTCAATATCTGCTCGAAGCAGAGCATGATTCAGACACAGACAAGCTTTGTTTACTTTGGTTCATTCCTCAGCTACTCTCGTGTTCCTCTAGACCCTATCGCGACCTCGCAACTCTAGTCGCATGCGCCCTACCATACTCTTTACCTTTTTTTTTTGGCCACAACCATATAAAATAACTAGTACTCGAATCATGTCGACAGAAAGAAATGATAATGGAGGGATGAATCCAACCGCCGCGCCATTCATCCCATTTGCTTCTCCCCAACCGAGCTTTGCTACCCAACGTCCCAAGAACTCCCGCTCAAGTGTCCCAGATTGGAGGCATGGAAACAAAGAGGCTGCGCGGCGAGCTGGAGATCAGGTAATGTCGAGCGTTCATGGGATAGGATACTCAGCAGCTTGATAGTTCTCTCTCCCTGTCCCCTCTCCCTGTCAATAGTTTCGCTTCATCGATCGCGCGAGCCAGGTGCGAGGTTTCACAGGCCACGCGGCTACTAATTGTGTGCGTGATCAGATGCTTCGTCCTACTGCCCCAATCCTCAGCCAGCCTGTACACCAGAACCCCTCGCCTCGTCGTTTCAAGACTGATTCCTCGGATGGCCTTGCTCAGCATTTCTTCATAAGACGAAGAAGTACAAGACGCACTTCTAGAGCTGGCGGCAGGACCCCTCAGATATCAAAGGCAGACGCAAGTGGCCAAGGGGCTCCAAAGCCTCTTGAAGCCACCCCTAGCCGACAGCATCGCATGCCTAACGAGAAGGCAACAACAGAGACAGAGACAAATAATGGCAGCGCCCCAGAGAAAGTCCGTATCCCACTTTTGCAGACTGGGGACAGTATACTTATCATTGCAGGACTCGCAAACCATGTCTGTGGAGGGCGTGCTGGTGCCAGGCTCAGCGCCAGGCCAGATGCCTCCAAGTGGGCATCCGGCCTATGAATATTCAACTGTTCCTCCGCAGCAACATGGTGGCGACATGATCCATCATCCAAGCCATCCGGTATTGCCTAGTATATATCCTCCTCCCCCTCCTCCGCCGCCGCAAGGAGGTTGCTATCCATTACTTCATATGGTTCCCTACCAAATGGTTCCTAACCCGATAGATCAACCACAACAACCAAATCATTTTGCTTTTGCTTTTCCGGTCGCTTATTGGCCACATAGAGACTTTCCTGGTGGAAATCCCGGCTCTCAGATCGATCAACAGAACCCTGATCCTGATCGAGAGCAGGCGGACCCCAGAAGTTTCGGCCCTCTGACGCACAGTTATCCTTATTTGATGCCATATGTACAGATGCCATATATGCCATCCCATATTTCTGAAGAGCACGCTTGCTTCCCGGTAAGTGGTTCACGGTTCGAAGCTCATCATTCAAGATTTCTCCTTCCGAATTCGCATCGCAAAATATTAAATATGCAGAAGAATATCGATGAGAAAAGAGTAGATCAAAAAAGCCGTATAATCGAGTTCTCTGACGATAGGGCTCCCGATAATGATGCTAAATCATCCATTCATTATCATCAGAACTCCAGAGATAGAGCGAAGCCTCCGTCAGTTGTCGACGGCCCGCAAGCTAAGAGAAAGGCTGGCGAACAAGACTGGCAGCGGTTACAGCAATCCCGCCAGGTGCCTCTCGGCCCTCAGCAACGTCATAGCACCTCAGATCAGCCAACTCAGCAAAGTAAGTCACCTCTACACGAACACCACATCACTGAAATTCAGCAAAGAGCTGACAACAACACCAAAAATAGTCGCTCGGTATCCTACGATGCAGTCAGCGAATGTCATCACCAGTCCATCGTCTAGATTCTCGCGAAGAAGCCATGTTCCCCATAGACCTACCAAGATTCAGACTGCAACCTCAACCGAAGTAGCATCGTGGTCACAGTCGAAGCGATGGGTGAGCTCAGAAAGCAAAGAGCGCCGAGCATTTCAGAAGATGGTTCTCAATCTTCAATTCATGAAGGCTGACCAATCGCCTTTTATCCCAAAGACTCCCGCCGAGTTGACCAAATTCAAAATCTCCCTAGCAGAGGTTAAATGGCAGAAGCTCACCACAGAGGTCAAGCTGCTCGAAGAGAAGAATCGGAATAAAGAACTGGCCAAGGCGTCGGGTTGGATGCCAGTATCCCAGCTACAGGTGCTCCTGTTCAATGGACGGCAAATGGAGGACAAGCTCTCGCCGGTATTCGCTGCTCAGAATTGCTTCAACAAAGAGGACACCGCCAAAGCGTGCCAGCGTGTCGAATGGCCGTCGCTGGCCGAGCTGAAGGAAGAAGGCGATAAACGTGCTAGATTCGGTCGATACCTCCCCCTTCCTCGGATGAACGTCGTCGCTCCCAAGATCCTGGAGAGAGAGCAGCAAAGCGCCTACAAAGCAGACGGATCCATCTTGTAGGAGAAGAAGGCCGTGAAAACTGGATCCTGGAACATCCCACCCGTCACCTCATCATCTGATGAAGACCCGAATGAACAGCCGCCGCAGTTGGAGATTGCTGAGATGAATGGATTTTTAAAGGATTTCATATTGGATATTGAGAGAATAAGCTCGTGAGAAACGCACACATCACGGAAGACGATGCCGGCAAAAGGTGTTGCTGAAGAACATCGAGAAAGAGAAAGTTGAGAGTCAGTTTGCTTTTCGATTAAGGACTAGGACTTTTGGGCTATTGAGAGAGGCGACGTCTCGCATGCACGAAGCAGACGGAAAATGGAGGTCACAGAGACGAGAGGAATGAGAGAAAACATGTACAAGTAAAGCAAATCTGGCTTGATGTAGGACTAAATGAATGAATATGGAAAATTGCAGCTCGGTTTCAATACGAATCGCAATAAATCGTTAACCGCAGTCACTGGCTATCACCCAGCGACAGACGATCTTGACCCGCGATTTCCTCTTTCGAAAAATAAACCGGGGACAAAGCTTAGCGAACAGATACGGATAAATAGTGCTTCCGTTGCCGCACCATAATTTTTCGGTGGCCGAAGAAAAGCCCTTAGGCGAGGTACGTACCGCGGGCTTAGCGCAACCCACAACCACAATTTTCGACCCAATTCAGTCCCTCCACTTCTTCTCAGGCCTGTGTCCAAAAAGTTTCATTCCTTCCACATTCCGACAAATTCGATTGCCCTGGTGAGCACCATTATCATCAGGTAAGTGCTGCAGAATTTTCTTTGAAGGCGGCTTAGGAGTTTCCGTACAGTTCAGCAGGATCAAAAGAATCAATTCACCTCACCACTGTCGTCTTCGATTTGGAAGAGGGGAAGCTGTTCTTTTGATGCTGCTGCTGGAGTAGGAAATCTCGTCGACCGCTTCCTTTTCTTCCAAACTGCACATTCTTTTTCTCTTCGAAATTTCAAAAGGCTAACCACCAACCCTCTCTTTCTGCCTTTAGAACTCGCAATCATGGGTATCTCTCGTGACTCCCGCCACAAGCGCTCCGCCTCTGGTGCCAAGCGCGCCTACTACCGTGCGTACAACCATACCTGATATATATAATTCCGAAAGCCCGTATAGAAAGCTTTCTCTTTTGAAAGATGTTCAATACGTTCTGACCTCCATCAACAGGGAAGAAGCGCGCTTTCGAGGCTGGCCGCCAGGGTGCCAACACCAAGATTGGTGCCAAGCGAATCCACACCGTCCGCACTCGCGGTGGCAACCACAAGCACCGTGCCCTGCGCCTCGACTCCGGTAACTTCGCCTGGGCCTCCGAGGGCTGCACCCGCAAGACCCGTGTCATTGCTGTCGCCTACCACCCGTCCAACAACGAGCTGGTCCGCACAAACACCCTGACCCGCAGCGCCATCGTCCAGATCGACGCCGCCCCCTTCCGACAGTGGTACGAGTCCCACTACGGCCAGTCCATCGGCCGCAGACGCCAGAAGGCCCAGGCCGCCAAGGAGGGCAAGGAGGCCACCGAGGAGGTCAAGAAGAGCAACTCTGTCGAGAAGAAGCAGGCTGCCCGCTTCGCCGCCTCCGGCAAGGTCGAGTCCGCTGTTGAGAAGCAGTTCGAGGCCGGTCGTCTGTACGCCGTCGTCACCAGCCGACCTGGTCAGTCCGGCCGCTGTGACGGTTACGTCCTGGAGGGTGAGGAGCTGGCTTTCTACCAGAAGAAGCTGCACAAATAAACTCGCAACAAATTGGCGTGAGTCGGATGGGGTGTTCAAGGTTTTTTCGTTACATCTTGGGCATTTTCAGGGCATCAAGACCCCTTTCCATATAAAGAAAGCATCGGAATGGGTCCATAGGGAAATGAAAATCTTTTTCTTGCAGTCATGTTCAAAATTATTCCATGTTTGTTTCATCTAGTATGATAATGAGACAAGAAGAAAAAAAATTCAATACACCCGTCTTTCCGCTACAACATACCCGTACTTGTGATATGTATGATGCATCTTGATCACATGAGAAACACACACATGCACCAAGCTTGTATGAATAAATTTTAGCGGTATTAGCGTTGTAGAAATTCCAAGAAAAGCATAACGAACCCTGGTCTATAAATGCTTCATAGATTCGTCACATTTAATCACTGCACAAATCAGATTCATATGTATCCCAGTGTTTGATAAAATCTTTCATATTTTCCCTCTCTATTTCTGTAAAAACTCTTGTCCTATAAAAAAACATGCATGTCGTAATGCCGCTAGAGCGTGAATGCTGTTCCTAAAAATCCTTCATTTCATCACCAGCCAGTATGTAAACTAGCCGGGCATATGTACTGCTGATTGGCCACTAAAAAGGGAGGAAAGAAGAAAACTCCAAAGAACTTTTTTTTAAAAGTGAAAACGGTTAAACTAATGGGAGAACAGTATGGAGAGGGAGAAATATGATGGTCGTGGGAAAGAGTTGGTATTCTTCCTGTCTTGTGATACGAAGAATGGGGAATCAAGCAAGGGAGTGTAAGAACGATTGAGTGTAATGATTGGAAATATGTTTTGGCTTTTTTCACATTTAAAATTGAGGTATAGTTTTAAGCAAACTGGCGCTTCAAGTCAGCCCACTTGCGAGTCAGAGCGTCGTGTTGAGAAGATATCTGTCGTATAGTTGTGGTTAGTCCTATTTCTCCCACATTCGAGAACGATGGCGGTGCCACCTATAGATATAAAACGTACCTCTGCATATCGCAACTTTGTCTGCACCAGCTCCTCTTCCAGTTCGGCCAACTCTTTTTCAACTTTTTCGTTCTCCAGATGCACCTTCTCATTACGCTTCATCAAATCATCACGCTCGAGTTTCCACGTCTCTTCCATCTCCAACGGCTGCCTCTCAAGCACATTCTTGAGCTCCCGAACTTGGTTCTTGAGAGCGTCATTCTCGTCCTTGAGTTCGTCATTCTCAACCTTTGTATGAACAAGCTCTGTGGCAAGGTCAGCCTGCTCGCGATCACAGACTTCAACCCTCTCTTCCAATTTTCGAACTTTGATTGTAAGACTCTGGCTAGTAGTTCGGAGATCCTTGAGCTCTGTGTCTCGTTCTTTCTCAAGCTTTGTCTTTTCTTCCCACTCCGCAGTATATCCTTCGAGAAGCTCTGCAGTGAGCTTGATTTCGCAAGCATCCCTCACCAGCTGGTCTGCTCTGTAAATCTCCTTATCGGCGCCTGAGCTAGAGCTGCCAAAGAAGCCATTCTCCAAAAGACTGCCTTGGCTAGGGTCTTTGTCGATGTATACATCAAAAAGCCTATCTTTAAGATAGGTGGTGAGCTGCTGCATATCGGAGATCTCCAACAAAGTTTGGGTATTCTTTTGCATCAGAACAATACCGAATCGAATGATGGCTGATAGACCCTCCGAGAGGATCAAATCGTAGATTCTTAATACAAGTTGGAGAGGGAAGCGGTAAGCAAAGAGTGTGAGGAACCAAGGTGTGGCATAGAGATGAGGAGATATGCCTCGCCGATGAAGGTGGCAATACAGCGCAGGTTCAAGATCTTCCAGTAGCCGCTCGAACTGATACAGGTTTCGATGAAGTCCAGGCATGTCGTGAATGAAGAGATCTCGCAAGCCGTAGTGGTTCATCAGGCGGACAAGCAAGCAGAATGCTTCTTGCTCTGGCATATTGAAAAGCAGTGGCATGATCAGGAAATTCATGCCCTGAGCATAGCTCACACCTTCATCGAAAAGAGCATAAGCTTTGCAGACCCCGAAAAGACCCTCTTGAAGCCCTGCAGCAGCCGCATACTTGGAGTAGCTGGTGCGAGCGCCAAGGTCACGACGAATTACTTTCTCCAACCTCTGGATAGCCTCAACATCTTCCTTCTCTTTGCGCATCCTTTCTGTCACAGCTGCTGCTTGCGCCTTAGCGATGGCCTCAGCAGTCTTATCCGTCTTTTTGTCCGCCTTTGGTCCTGAGCCGCCTGACAGTTCAGAATTGACAGACGATGCGGATGATGCTACGCCCTCACCACTCTGCACACTGAGATTTGCGTTGCTGAAGCTGCTTGCTGCCGTGCTGCTGCTGTGTCGATTTCGGTTGTCTTTCTCTGTTCCCCTAGTAACTAGATCTTTGTAGACCCCTTCTAAATCTTCATTCTTGCTCTGTGCCAGCACTTGCCAAATGACGCCACGGATGGCGCTGGGAATGCCCGTAGCAATAGCCCTGTTCAGGTCCTCAGCACTTGATCGCGCAACGGCAGCCGGGCCTTCGTAGACTACGGTTTGCCAAAGATCCCAATCAACCTGTGACTGGTCCACCTCTGACGGGCCAACATTGATACCGGATGCCGTTCCTGGTGCCAAGCTTGCGCTTGGAGGGGGCAGAGGGGACTTGGGTGGCAAGTCCACTACTGCAATTGTCTCTCCATCTCCGCTCTCTTTTGGAATGTCATCAGTGTTCACGGTGAGCGGGGCGCCATTTTCCTGTTGCAGCCGAAGCACCTTGAATCGATCTTTGAGACTATTCCGGTTTGTAGCTTTACCATCGCCCTCACGTTCTTCTTCGAGCTTGCTCAGCATCATTTCAGAGTTGCTACCGTTTGTAGCGACGGAGCTAGTGGTGTTTCTTCTCGCTGATGTCTGAGTTGCCGGTGCCGCACTGACATCTTTGTCTTTACTAGAATTCCTGGATAGCCAGGAGAAGGGGCTGGTGAGTTTCCTGCCAACTGGTACAGGGGCAGGGCTGGCGGCAGCGGCAGCAGTGGTTACGACGGCAGACGCTATACTCTTCACCGGCGATGAGGGGGCTGGAGTCGTGACATTGTTGTTGGTTAGAGAAGTTGTTCTGCTTAGTTGGCCCTTCTCGGAAGGGCTTTTGGGCTCTAAGGAGGCAATTAGCAACGTGTAAGCAAAGTATAGGTATGAGACGGTGAGAGAAAGAGAGGCGTACCTTTGTTCTGTGGGGAAGCATCATCGTCATCCAAGTTAACAACGTCGAGATTTGATGTGTTGGAGATATTGGAGACGCGGTGTGACAATGGAGTTGAGCCACGTGAAGGAGGCTCTGGCTTTTCCTCTTCCTTGGCTGATTCTACTTCTTCCTCCTCGTCGCTCCCAGCCTCAGATTCAGAGGCATCCCGCTCTGGCGGGGGAGGTTGAGACTTTGTAGCAGAAACAGATCGAATGGATCTCTTGGTCAAGGATCGCACAGATGCGGCGTCGACGGCGTCTTCGAAGGTGTCCTGCTCAGTGGCCTAACCAGTTAGCCCTTGCTTGCTCGGCGTTTGCCTTTCCTGCGTGTTGTTGGGGTACCGCCCGACATACCGTATCATCAACATCGGAGTCGGTAAGAGACGGCCGCCTTTCCTTGAGCGACGCCTCGGTCGAGTGCTGGGAAGCTGCGTCGTCGTGCTGCGACATGGCTCCCTTTGCAAGCTGCTTGGCTTAAGAGGTGAATGTGCGGCGTATCAACAGGTACCGTTCAACAACGAGCCATCCAGCGGCCCTATAGAATTGAAACTTTTTTCGGATGCTTGGAGCTGGGAAGAATATCCTTGACAATGTGGGCTGCGGGGGCCGTGGCCGAGCCAATGCGGTATAGATGACAATGGTAGCAATAAGAGAAAGACGCCGGTCAACAGAGGACAGGTCTCACAAGAAATGACGAATGCTGGTGTTGTGTACAATGCTGTTGCCGGCTCTTCCTAGTTGGTATGTACAGGTTCAAGGTCGAGAGCTTTGAGATTTTGTCTCAGGGAGCGTGCAGCCATGGATGGCATGGAGTCCAGCTGTCGTGGCCGCCAAATGGCACGTTTCCCCTGGCTGGCCGCTAAGCTCAGCGGTCTCGAGCCAACAGTGCGGGTGCGAGGTGGCTCAAAGAGGGCCTCTGCAGCGGGTCTTTAGCGCCTAACGGCCTCTAGGAAGGGGTTTAGCGGGCCAGCTCTGCCTTCCAGGCGCTGCTTGACTGACGGAGGCGCACTTGTGCCGCGGAGCTTTTCCTGATAACAGCGAGTCGCTTCTGGCGGTGTCCAGGGTCGCGTGCTGTTCGGGCACTGGTGATCACCAAACGGGAGCTGTTCGGCTGCGCTGGGGAGAGATGGAGGGGTGGGGGGCTTTTTCCTTCGAGTGGCCCAACGACCCCTTTTTCGTGTCTCCTCTTTTTGCATGCCTTTTTTTCGGAGAGGGGAGAAGCAGGAAGAAGTAGGAAAAGGCAGCCATGGGACGAGAGCCTCACAAAGGGCCGGCAGATGCTCTGAAACAAAGACTCTCTTGTCAACCATGTCACCTGAGCTCCTCATCAGCGCACATGGGCCTCTCAAAGCTTTGACGCCTTCAACGTTCTTTATTGTCTACCACCCCGTCGACTGATTCCACAACCAGCAACTTCACAACGCTGTAAGCAGCAGCGACAAGAATGGATGGAACCTAATGTATTGCTACCTGGATGGGGGCTTTGTCTGTTGTCTTGCATCTGGCATTCAACCCCCGTCTGGAACAATGCCCAAATTCTCTCACCATGAGTGACTAGCCCGCCGTCAATGACCGACTGTTTCAGAGTCATAAGGTAGCTCAAGCTCTTTGAAACCGGGGCTGCTACCTGCCAAGGCGGCACTATTAGCAGGGGACACTCGTGAATTCGCAAGTGAGGCTTCAAGTACCGTGTTTAGAGCCTTTAGTCGTAATGCCCGCCAGTTTCCAGGGTAGCACAGCGGCTTGTCTGAAGGGCTGTTTGTCACCTCGATGTGCCTACTCATTCAACACTACTCCCTTCTCTAGTCGCCATCTCTAGTTCACTCCAAAAGTAGTGGCATAGACAAAGTCGTTGTATTTTACAAAAATGATGTACGTATTTACGAATGGGTCTTGAACAAGGGGCTGGATGCGTGAATGTAGGTAGCAGCAACATAAGATATCACTTACTATTAATAGTAGGGCTATCTGTTGGAAGGGCTGGCAACTTGTCAACTCTCATAAAGCAAATGCGCGACATCGCTACTCATTGTTGCTGTGAGCACGGGAACAACTCATGGGACCATCGCCGGCCTCTGGTGTAGGAACGATGACATCTGCGATGACAGCTGAATCTTAGCTCCACCGCAGACTTCCCCAGATTCGAAGCACACAGCTAGAGGTAAGAAACAGGCACCAACAAGGCCCGTGCTGTTTCATCGATATTCCGCTTTACACCTTAAAGTAAGGTACTACGCCTAGTAGATGTTTGCTGATCGACCGAGATTTATTAACGGGGCCGTGTAAGACCTGTTCCAGCATGGACTTCTCATTCATGCGTTTTACACCGAAATGCTATGCTCTCCTGATTTAGACCTGGTATCTGCTGAAGTGGGAAACAAGATGAAAGTAGACAAAAACGCGGGTAGCAGCATTACGGAAGCTTAGTAGCCTGTGCTGTCTACAGGACCGTCTGCCATAATACGAGGTGGATCAGCTGCTATTGATGGAAGCATCAAGAGACATGGACTGAACCACATACCTACAGTACCTACCTTAGTTGGGTATGCTCTTCTCTGCAGTGACCGATATTTTCGATAACACCAAAACACTAGTGCTCCCGTATCAAAATGCTAATGGAAGCATCCATATATCCGCATGCCAAAAACAACACAGTAGATTAAATACGCTCAATTACACAAAACCTTCTTTTCGTGATTTGGTAGTGATGCAAACAGTAGTGCAAAAAGGCCACAAATGACATCACATAGGTGGCGTCTTCCACCACGAGCCGTTTAGTGATTAGCGAATCACATGCGCCGTGCTATTTACAGAGAGCAGGATAGAAAAAGAAGCAGTACAAAAGATGGAAAGGGTATTTATTGATTATGAAATACAGCTCTTCATGAAGAGGAGAAGTGACCTCAACATCAGAAAAATCGTTTTTGGTGACGACGTCTGGGCTTCTACACAATATCTACTATGACTACTAGGTAAGGCGTGCTTAGCCAGGCACAGGCCCCTGTGCACCATCTCAATGTAAGGGCTACGAGAAGCATCCATAATTTCACCTACCTCGAGCATATACAACACTTCTACCTACCTAGGTAGATATTGCCTGGCGGCTTCTGTGTCCGTCGTGCCTATTTCGCTCCTCATTACTCCCCAAAGGCAATCTGCACTTTGCTGATTGGGCCATGTATCTGGGGCTGCCGGTGTACCTGCTGGACGGGAGATTCTGAGCTCCTCCAGTTGCAGTTGCAGGCAAAAAGCACTTGCACCTTACATACAGGTAAGGAGCTCTATGCAAGGAAGTCTTGCTTTGCGACTCATGTGTAATTGAGCCAGGCCCGGCTACGTCTTAGAGGCTGCCCGATTGCCTAGACTTCCTTGACCAGAGCAGCTCACTGTAGGGATTAAAGTCCTTGTGGGCGCCGCCGGACTGGAACCACACGGTGTAGGAACGCCCATAAATTCCCTAAAACAGGACTAGTCGTCCGATGGTGCTAGCCCCTTGCAGCCTAGAGCCAGCGATTTTGGCGGGCAGATAAAATCTTAAGCCTCTGCATCTGCCGCTGTCGTCTCTCAAGGCGCTGCTATCCCCGCTGATAGCGCTGCGACGTCGCCTAAATGCGGAACCGATAGCGCGCAGCGCAGCTGCTGAATGTTTGCTGTGTGCTCTTTCAGCCTGCCCCTCACCCGCGCACTGCCTATTCGGTGCCTGTAGGCAATTCGCACTGATTCACCCAAGTGCGGGACAGAGAGGAGCTGCACTACCACGCCTATTACGCAAAGGCCCACTTGCTTTCCACTGCTCAACCTGACGTTTGTCAACCAGCAACTCTTTTTTTTCTCTCTCCCAACTGCATCTTCTCTCCACATCTCCGCCCGGCAACTTCACGACGGGAGCATCTGCAAGCCATAATCGACGGCTTGGCCTGTGTTCCTGAGTTTCTTCTTCTTGACGATACCCCGCCCTGCTGCCTGCCTGGACCCTTGGAATCGCTGTTTGAGGACGACTGCACTCGCCCTACTACTCGCTTCCAAGCTCTCTCGCAGCCGCATCCTGCATCCTCTATTGACAGATAAAACTCCATTTCGTTCCCAACCCGAACCGAAGACCGGCACATCGATCTCTGAAGCTGCGGACAGATACCGTCTGCGATCGGCGTCGACCTCAGCGAACTTTGGTGTTTGACGTGCAGCTAGCCTTGTCTCGAAGCATTGCCTACGCATATCTGACGTCCACCCCCGCGGTTCGGCTCAACCCAGCCACTACGATCTCCCAACCGCCAGCCGTGTTCGCGGTCTTTGGAATAAGTTTCTGCTGAAATAAAAAGCAAGTCATCTCAACTGCACCATTCGCGCTGCCGCGCCAGCGGATAGCCGGATCGAAGTGGAGGGGGAGTTTGTATTTGCGATCGCGGCTCGGCCGCTCCTGTTCTCATCATGGGCAAGATTACGAAGACGATGCAGTATAAGCATCGGGAAACTCTGGTAAGTCATATACGGTGGAGATGGAAGACACACAGAAAGAGCCAGGTTTCATAATGCATGCCCCGAGGAGAACTGTGACGCTGACTTTTTTCATCTGGATATAGTCCCCATGGCTCAAGCTGTATGTGGAATCTGCATCGACGACTCCGTTGCCCCTCCTTGTTCAACAACTCGCCGATTTTCCGACACGATGGCCTTTCGGGCGTGGAGACCTCTACCATTGGATTCCCTTGTTGAACAGATTTGATAGCGTGCTTGAACTTTTCTGCAAAGTCTACAAGTTGAATGAGGGGCCTCAGCAGCGTGATTTCGGTTGCGAGGTGCTTCTTAATCATGCAAAGGACCCGGTATTTGAAGGCGAGAAGCAGTGGGAGATGGACCAGCTTACCGAGCTCAACTTTCCCCGAGATGGCGACAGAGTTTTGATTGAGGCTATCCTCAAGTTTACCCGCATGCTGCTAGAGCATTGCGGAAATCGAAGCATCTACGCTAGCAGTGCTCACTTGAACGATCTGCTGAACTGCGCCGCTCCTTCTGTTCTCATTGCCACCCTCGAAGTGGGCTCTGAATTGGCACAAAGATACCAGGCGTCGGTCAAGCGGATAGGTACCGCTTCTAGACACATTAGTGCAGCGCTTCTTGCAAACCATTACAATATCGACTTGGATCGCGTTCAGCAGATAGCATTACCATTCGTCAAAACGCCCATCTTTGGCCTTTCGGATCCCACTCCAACCAACCCACCTACAGCTAGTGCGTCTAGTGCGTCGAAGGGGAAGGACAAAGTGACCGCAGGAAGCGGCGTTAGAAATGTCGCTACTATGCATGCTAATGATCTAGTCGCTATCGCTACATCTGATGATAGTCGATGGAACACTTGGGGCGATGTCAAAGTCTCTTATTATCCGCAAGAAACCGCTACACCGATCCAGCATGACGTCCCAGCAGAGACAACGCGCTCGACTCTACCGTCA